TTAATTTGTAATTAATTTGTAATTTCTCTGCTTTACAGGTTTAATTTTCCATTTTAGTTAAAAGAACAAAAGGAATTCAAGTGGTTATTTGACACCAAATAGGCAAAACTAGCAGGTTATTGAATAATTTCTAAAAGTTCTGCTGGATTAATTGAAGGTTACATTAACATAACTGAATAGACCAAAGGCTAAGGCTTATGGTCAAGGATCATATAGAATATATTTGATACTATTTGGGTATAAATAATATCCATTTTTAACTGCATAAGGTAATGTTCTTTAACCACGAATGTTTCTTATTATATTCTAAACTTAGTTGCTTTAAAACTTCTTAAGAGCCCTGGTGCCTCAGTTGGTTGGAGTATACACCAAAAGGTTGCGGGATCCGTCCCCCGTCGGGGCACATACGGGAGGCAACCAATTGATGTTTCTTTCTCTCTCCCTTCCTTTCTCTCTAAAAATCAATTTTTTAAAAAAGAAAACTTCTTAAGAAAACCTCAATCCAATCGATAATCTATGGTTTATTTGTAAGATCCCATAGCATTTTTGCTAGTATGTGGGGGGATGAGCAGTTAGGAATGCAAGCTTCAGTCTTCTTTCTTTCTAGGTCCAATCGCACTACCTCCAGATCTGCAGTCATTCCTTTATCTCCTTTTCCATTTTGGAGGGGGGAAAACCCCAGCTTCACTAGACAGCCATTTATTTGGCTGTGCTAATCTCTCACCTTTGACTTCATTCCAATTAAAGTAAATTTTAGATCTCAACTCCTAACTTCTACTGAGAACGAATGACTTTGTAAAAAAGCTGCTACTGGGAATTCAAAGTGTTACCTAAACCTTGTGGATTGTTAGTTGGTAGAAGAGTTGTATAACAGGCAGAAGTGTTAGATTCTATCACTAGACTGCAATAGTTGTTTGTATGCCAGCCTGGAACTTGAACGTAACTGCCTCTCCCTGAACAAAATACACTAAAAGTTATTTTTCATCTGCATTGTGAAGAGAGAGGCATTGCTAAAAATGGGGATTGCATATAACTTTGGGAAACAATGGCATTATTTCAGTAAGCAAAGATTGGTCTTTACAGCTTTGTTAACTAAATGGGTTGGAACATAAAAACCCTTGTGGCTTTTTTTTTCTTTTTCTATTTATAAGAAAAATGACATTTGAAAAGTTATTTTGTGATGTAGGACAACCATGAAATTGTATCATAGTGACACACTGTGATTATACAGACTATGTATCCATGGATAGATAATATCTAGAACACTTTAAAATTAATAAAATAAAACTATTATAATGTTTAATTATTTCAGTTTGTTAGATCTAGAATCAGCTTTCAGTTCTCAGGTATAGACAGCTGGTTCTCAGCTTGTATTTTCAGAATTCCCTTCATAATAGTAAAGAAAATTTTGGTCACCGATTTCTTGATTTAAATTTCCAAAAGACACTAACTAGATTTTACTATTTCCCCCCCTACATACCAACCTACATGTAGGAAAGTAATAACTGGTTTATGTATAAAACACAAGTAAAATTCTGTAGAGAAGCAATTGGATTAAAATTCTTGCCTATTCTCTCAACTGTTCATATGGCCTTTTAATTGGCATATTATCCCTAAACTAATTTTGATTTTCCACATTGATTCAAACAGTCTCCTTCATTTAGTTGAAAAGTCTATGTCTGTTCCAAAACATTAGATAAAGTACAGACTTATTTCTCTTAAAACTAATTTGTAGCCACTTAAAAAGTCTGTCCATTAAACTAATAATAAAACAAGAGAGTTGAAATCATTGTCTGAAGAATGAATCACATGTTCTTATTCCGAATTGTGTTTGGAACAAAAAAAGTATACATCCTGGAAGGATAAAGGTCAATATTAACTAAATAAAATACAAGGCTCATAGTTTGAACCCCTTGGGTTGAAAGTTAAGGAACCTTAAGTGAAAAGTCAAACTTTTAAGATGCCTGAGTTAATTTTAATATGGAATCTAGGGACAGGATGTGAAGACAAGTGACTGGAAATCCATTTGGACTTGTATCTTTCCCATTCTGCACATCTTTGTCATTTTTTTCTTTCTTTGCAGACAGGTGAACTCTGAATTTCTATGTCTCCCATGAAGTAACCTCTATCTAGAGATTGCCCAGCATCTCTGTCCAAAGAGGAGGAAGAGAGAACCTAATTGGCCCAATTGAGGTTATGGGACTAGGTATGGCCAGAGGGGCAGTCCCCTACTTTTGCTGCCAATGCCCACTGCAGAGAAAGGGGCCTGGAAGGCACTCAGAAGTGTTTACTACAATACAGCTTTCATCAACACATCTCCCTAGACCCTTTCCATTAACAAGCATTTATCTGCATCACAAGTAATTATAGTTATTTTCTGGTGCATCTCTGTCCACTCCTTGCTTCACATTTTATGCTCCAGCAACAAAGAATTGCTTGTAGTTCCACCTACCCATTCTCTGCTTAGCGCCCGTATCTCCTAACGAAATCAATGCCTTTCATGCCTAAATTATTTCTATGATCCTCTGTGCTTGTAATGGTCTCCTTCCAATTCTCTTTATTCTTTAGGAGTCATGCCCAATGCTACTGCTTCCAGCAGACCTCCCCGACATCTTTACTTTCCTAAGCTAGTTATCTTCTTTTTTATGCATCATAACATTGTGCAGGTAAATCTCTACCATTGTCAAGCTCCATTGCTTGTGATTTCCTGTTTAGGTTTTGACATCTTTATAACCCCAGACACAGTGAGCCTGGCCTACAGTGGGCGCTCCAAAAGAGCTGAATGAATACACTCTCAAAGTTTCCTTTTAGTTAATGATTTGACTCTCTGGAGTTAAAGGAGTGTGTCATTGCATGAAAAGTATTGTCTGCATGAACCCATTAGAATTGTTAACTTGTCAAAGAATTAGGTGTCAGGAAGTTCTTATCAAACTCCTCTTCAAGGAATGACAGCCCACCACTTGAGATATGCCTGCGATTTACCTGGTGCCCTAACCAGTTTAATTTCCTCTTAAAACTTCTGCTGGGCTTACCTTCCCCTCCGTGCGGAGGCAATGTTGATCTAGTGAAGTAATGGTCAGAGCATCAGTGTATGAAATTATTTTATTTATTCTGCATATAAACATTATTTTTCAAAGGCAATTTCATGAACTACATCCTGCAGTTCTGTGGGCTTTTAACAACTTTAACTTACAAGGTTTGCGGTGATTTTCAGTCCTTGAGACAGACATGTTTTTCTTAGTCTTAAAGCCCATCTCTGCACTCCAGTCCCGAAGAGCTGACTCTGCATTTCCCAGCTGAGCAGTAAATGCACTCTTCTGCCCACCTCCCCTCCTCTAGACATTTTATCAGATAGAGAAACGTTGGTTTATCCTAAAAGGAAATTTTGCAAATGGTTGACTTTTGTTAATCTCAGGTTTTGAGAATAGGGGGTAAAAGACCATTTCCTCAGATAAGAGTTTTAAGCTGAGTTTCCCCTCCAAACAAATTACAAACAACAGCAAAACCTCCAGGTCCGCCTTTGAGTCCCTTGGAGCAGGCAGCCCGGCTAAGTCCTAATAAATGAATTAGCGTCTCCGAAAGAGATCACCGAGGGGCTGATATTGATCAAGGTCAGCGGGTGTGTTTGCCCGCGTTTGTTGGGGGTGGTTAATTGCGTGTCGGTCTCGGCCCGCGTCGTCTCGCTGGCGCCGGGTGCTTTTTGGATTTGCTAAATTTCGTTAAGTGTCTCTAGCCGACCGCTCGCCCCCTGTCTACCCGGGAGAACTCAGCGGCTCCTACTGATCAACAGTCTGTCTGTCTGGGCTTTATTGATCACAGGGCAGGCGGCTCGCCCGGATGGGCTGCGGGGCCGGGGAGGCTGAAAGCAGACCCAGCGCCCGGCCACCCTCCTCTCTGGCTCGCGGACGGAGCCCCTCCAGCGCCGCGCCGCGCCGGCGAGGTTCGGCAGGAGCGCACGC